TTGCAGAGGGGTCTCGGGGAGGAGATGAGCCAGTCAGGGTGTGATGTAGCAATGATGAAAAATACAACTTTCCTCTAGTTCCTAAATGCTTCCTTCCCCCCACCCCATCCCCACTATCATCATCCAAATTCTATGTTGTAAGTCTGGCTAGACCAGAGGATGTACACTGGTACAGATAGGAACTGGAAACAGGGAATCCAGAGCGGATGATCCCTTCAGGACCAGTGGTGTGAGTGGCGATAGTGGGAATGTAGAGGGAGAGTGGGTTGGAAAGGGGGAACCAATTACAAGGATCTACATGTGACCTCCTCTGGGGGACAGACAATAGAAAAGTGGGTGAAGGGAGATGTCGGATGGGGCAAGATATGTCAAAATGATAATTTATAAATTATCAAGGGCTCATGAGGGAGGGGGGCGCAGGGAGGGAAGGAAAAAATGAGGTCCTATTGCCATGGGCTTAAGTGAAGAGCAAATGTTTTGAGAATGATGAGGGCAATGAATGTACAAATGTGCTTTACACAACTGATGTATGTATGGATTGTTATAAGAGTTGTATGAAACCCTAATAAAATGATTAAAAAAAAAAGAATTTAGGGGTTAATACCAGATAAACAAAAAAGACAGTGTGAGGCAAATAAAAACTGCAGTAAAACAATATATATATAATAGCACGCTGGTTTTATTGGTGGCGGGAGAAAAAAAATTTTCATTTGTAAAAGGTATTTGCTATATTTAACTCAATAAATTCTCCTATGCTTCGTATATGTTAATTTATTTTTTCCGAATTCTTGTTTTCTTTCCTTTAAATACTACCATCCACCACAGCTGCATCTTAATCCGAAGGGGGAAGAGGAGTTTTCATCAGGCTTTGACCCAGAGGTTTCAGTCAGCTGCTACATTCTTCATGAAGACTCTAGTTCAAAGAGAAGAAGAAAGTAAAATTAAGCTTTCAAACAGACTTCTCCGGAACTTGTCAAGAGATATTTCTGTGACTGTGAAGTGTTTGTTTACAGAGCAGCGGCTCTCACGTAGCAGTGGACATTCCTATAATGCAGAACATCGCTCCTTCAGCCATATGCAAACAAAAAGGCACAAACAAGCCCCCAATAAAATGATTTCATTATTAAGCAAATAAATAACATTTTTTTCTTCTTCTAAGATTTGCCAAGTCGGTTTTCGTGTCAAACCTGTTGGTTTCAGGAACTTGAATGAAGTGAACCCCCTTTTGAAGGATGACCTTACCAACGGAGAACATGCAGCCTGCCCGTGAGCCACCGCTCCGCCAACTTCCCCGCCCCCAGTCCCTTTGAACCGCTCTCTGCTACTGGACTGCTCCACACAGGCAACTGATCGCAGGCCAACTTCCCGCGCCGCCCAATTCCACCTGGATCAGGTCGCAGTCTAGCTGGAACACCTGTGAGTGGTGCCAGAGGTGGAACTGACACAAATGGCAAGAGAAGCCCTGTGGACTCCGGCAATGTTTTAGCTTCTTGCATGAAAAAACACCGGGGCAGGGCTTTCCTGTGGGGTTTCCTGTGGTTGCAGGCCAACAGCCCGTCAGTCTGCCCAAAATAGTCTCCTGCTCAGAAAATAAAGTACTATTATCGTCACATGATGCCAGTGCGGCTGGCAGTTATCTTCATACGTATCATTTTCCTGGTTTAGAAAATTCTGCAGAGGGGTGATGGACCGAACTGCCAAAAGAAAGACTTTTGAAAATGCATCTCATCTCATGCAGAAGTAGAGTAGGGCCGGTGTCCAATGGGATTCTCCTTCTCCCTACTGCAGCCAGAGGAGCCCAGGCATGGCCCACACCCTTTCCTCGGGTAAATTTTCTAACAGGAGTTTTTAATGACGTCATGATGGCGTTGCCTCTCAAAATGAATTTTCCCTTCATTTAATTTTGAAAAAACATTACACTGTTTTAATGAAAGTTTACACAGCTAATTAAGTTCACATTAAACAATTTTAATTCATATTCTTATATGACATTGGTTACAATTTTCACAATCTATCAGCATTTTAATTATTGATACTATTCGTTCTGATGCTATAGACCTAGCTTCCCTTCTCCTTCTCATCTTTGTTTTTAGGTAAATGTTGACTGCTTCATTTTGTATAATAGTGTGACCGCGTGTGATTTGTCCTTCTGCAATTGGCTTCTTTTCAGTTGGCATAAGTCCTCCAGATTCCTCTAAGTGACGGTTGGTGGGTCCCTCAGTGTTTTCGAGGGTCAAGTAGGGTTTCATGGCATAGATGTTTGTCCATTCATTATCCCTTCATCCATTGATGGTTACTTGGGTTTGTGTCTATGTTTATTTTTCCCGCTGTTGTGACTCATTGCGGCAATGAATATAGGTATGCACATATCTGTTCGCGCCTTGCTTCTATCTCTTAGGATGGGTACCTAGTGATGGAACTGCTCCTTCATACGATATTTCCATTTCTATCTTCTTGAAGCAGCACCATGTCCTTTGCCAGTGTGTTTGTCCCACTTTGTTGTCGCCCCAGCAGAGTAGAAGAGCTCGGATTGCCCTGCCACCTGGCCAGCATTTGTTGTTTTCAGCATTTGTTGATCACTACCATTTTTGCAGGGGAGAGATGTGCACTGTCTCTTACGGACAGGCCCTCAAGGAGATGGATGGGCACTGGCTGCAGCTATGGCTGGCTCAAGCATGGGCACAGTTGTGAGGATGGCGCATAACCGAGCAGTATTTAGTGCCGTTGTACATCAGATTGCTTAGGGTTGGCACTAATCCGATGGCATCTAGCGATAACAACAGGAAATGATTCTGAACTTCTTTTCATCTGCTTGAATGTCCTGATTGCTGAAAAGTCTGGCCATGCCCTTTGCATTTTTTAAAAAAATTAGATCGTCTTTTTGTGGTTGAGGTGTTCGAGTTTTCTATATATTTGAGAGATTAGACCCTTATCAGATATGTAGTTGCCCAAGATTTTTTTCCTATACATTCTCATTTTATTCATATGGGAAAGTCTTTTGACGTACATAAATACCTTTTTAGGAGGTCCTATTGTGCTTCATGTATTTTCAGTTGTGTTTGACAGGCTAGTTATACCACAAATCAGGTCCCTTAGTCTTGTCCCTACATTATCTTGTAGATTTAGCTGTACTATCTAGGTCTTTGATTGGTACTGAGTGATTTTCTGTGCATGGTGTTATCTATCCTGATTCCTTTTCAAAATGAACTTCCGTATTGATGTCAGGAAACCAAAATGTGTGTGTCACATTATGTTCATCAACCATGCGATTCAAAGGCAGCATCCAGGCACAACGGAAATCTGTCAGACCACTAAAACGGTAAGGTTTTAACTTATCAGGAGAGTTTTCACTGTACAATTATTTGGTGTGAATAAACTCCACTGACCAAGGGCGGTGACTTACAATTTACACTAAAGTAGTATTTATCTCTTTTCCAAAAATCCTTTTGCACACCCCAAATGGATGTCATCAAGTTCATGTGGACTGATGGCAAGCCCATGCCTCCAGGTTTCAATGGCTGAGTTTGGGGAAGTAGATTGCCAGGACTTTGTTCCAAGGCTCCTCAGGATGAACTGGAACCACCGACCTTTCAGTTAGCAGCTGAGTGTTAACTAGCTGCACCATCCTTAGACTTTGAAATTTTGTATGAGATATATAAAATATATGTAAGAAACTAATGGGAGATTAAGAGGATTGAGGGCTTGCTCAACCCTCATTTACCTTTAAAAGGGATTCAATTATAAGTATATGAGTACACTGAGCCTATTTTGGAAGTGCACATTCAACCTTGCACAATGCAAAATTGCTGATGTTCTTATATGTACTTAGTTTTTCCTTAAAAATTGTCATGGAGACAATAATGAATCATTTGGTTCCTTCTTAACGTGCTACAGTAAAATGCCCAGAGTTGAGATATATGTCTTTTGTGGCAGTGTAGGCAGTAGGTCACATCTATTTAATTGATGAGGTCTTATATAAAGCTCAAAGAAAAAGCCAACAATAAAAAGAAAAGTGGGTCACACTGACTAGCTCGCTAGACTCAGACATCCATTAGCACCAGGCTTCCACTCCAGGCAGACTACAACACAAGGGGCTAAAAGCTAAAAACTAGAAGAAATTCTGGCCTCACTTGGGATGATGGAACTAATTTTTAAGCAATGGTGAAGCTTTGGGGAAGTGGTAGTAGATATAAAGCTTTAGGATAGCAGTATCAAACAGAAATAAAATGCAAGACATTAAGTAATTGTTAATGTCCTAGTTGTTGGATGCCGTCCAATGGATTCTGACTCAAAGTGACCCTATGTAAGGGCAGAACTGCCCCACAATGTTCCCTGCACTGTAATCTTCACAAGAATCATGCCTTGTCTCCCTCAGAGCGGCTGGGGGCTATGAATCGCTCTGTCTGCTGACAAGTGCTTAATGAAATCACATTTTAAAAACAGTAAAAGTAAATAAGTGAAGTTCATTTTAATAATTTTTTATTTACTCCAGGACAACCACAATATTGTCATTTCAGCATGTAATCCATAGAGAACTTTATTGAGATGTTTTCTCTTCCTTCGGTTCTAAATCTTTGAGAAGTGGTGTGTATCTTTCAACTACAGTTCCTATCAATAGATAACCACATTTCAAGTGCTCCATGGGCCTAGTAGGTTTGAAATCTGAGAGCATCACTTAATGGGAGCAAAGCACACCACGGGGAACAGCATTAGGAGGTGGAGGAGCTGAAACGTGGAACTGAGTGCAACTCCTTACAAAGTCTTTGCAGTGACTTACACCAAAAGCTGTCATGGAGAGATTCTAATTATTAAAACACACACACACACACACACACACACACACACACACACACACCAAGCAAACATTTCAAAAGCACTGGAAATAATGACAAAATACAAATGTTATCAAAGATGTACACTGGTACAGATAGGAACTGGAATCACAGGGAATCCAGGGTGGAAGATCCCTTCAGGACCAGTGCTAAGAGTGGCGATACTGGAGGGTGGGATGGAAAGGGGGAACTGATTACAAAGATTTACATATAACCTCCTCCCTGGGGGACGGACAGTGGAGAAGTGGGTGAAGGGAGACATCGGACACTGTAAGATATGATAAAATAATAATTTATAAATTATCAAGGGTTCAAGAGGGGGCGGGGAGAGAGGGGGAAAATGAGGAGCTGATGCCAGGGGCTTAAGGGGAAAGCAAATGTTTTGAGAATGATGAGGAAAACGAATGTACAAATGTGCTTTACATAATTGATGTATGTATGGATTGTGATAAGAGTTGTATGAGCCCCTAATAAAACGACTAAAAAAAAAGAAATGTTATCAAAGATAGCCAAAGTGCTTTCTACTGCACATATATTATTAAGTCAGGTCTTTGTCTATCAGGTTAAGATGCCTCAGATCACTCCCATTATTCCTTACCCATTTAGTTTTATTATTTTCCTTCCCATTGAAGATGATTTTCAGATAGCAACTCTCTTTCTTCAACTCTGAGAGAAGCCTTCCAGGCAAAAAGCAGACATCACAAAACTTACATTTCAACAAGAAACCATGTTATCATCCCATCCCTGAGAAGATATCAGGAAACTTCATTTTCATTTTTAAAAAAGCATTATAATTAATTAAATCATAGACATAAACTTTGACCTTTATTTAAACATTGGTGTTTATTCAGTTCTTGGTTTTCCCACGTCAGCACTTCCACTGGTGAAGGGAGGGCGCAGACCAAAAAAGGGGGATGCGGACAGCACGCGTAGGGAGAGATTTCCTGGAAAAGGAGTTTGTAACGACAACTGTAATCTGAAATAACTCATGTCTGCCAGTTTGAAACAGCAGGGTTTTTGTTAATTCTATTATCACAAAAAGTAAAAACAAAAAAATTCTTTTTAAGTTCTGGAAAGGCACAAGAGTCGAAATAGCTAATCCCTACTGGAAAAGTTATATAGTATTTAGGATTTAAAACAGTTTGTATCTGAAACTGGACTTGAAACCTGCATAGGCAATAAGAAAGGATGGCACTTCCCAAGAGCGTGGCGGGCATGTGCACTAAGCCGCCGCTGTGGAAGGGCGCCTGGGGTTCAAGGCATGGTGTGTGCAGAAGCGGAGCTCAAGAACTCCACTGTCTGGGGATAAATCCAGCAACTTTTGCAATGAATTTGAAGCTCCTCCTGAAACAATGGGGTCGACCGGACTTTTAAGCCAGGGATTATTGATATATATTCAGTTTTGCAAAAATAACTTCAGAAAGGTGTTAGTGAAATTACTCTGGGGATGATGAGAGGAGAAGTCAGGAAGGAAAAAAAAATGGTTGAGAGGTCATCCTAACTGCTCACCATATGGATCAAAGCCGAAGCCGGGGCATGCTGCCAACTGCATGAAAAATTTGGAAAGCGCGGCAACAATGATACGCAATAAGAAAGAAACGATAGAAATCCACGAGAATTAAATGCGAACAGCATCTTTGGCGACACCGAAACCATTTCACCATGCCCACTTTACCTTTTCAGTGCTCGCTCCGCGCCCGGGGCGGTTGGTAAAACTGCTGGGTCGGCCGCGTGGATCGCTTTGGCTGGCCATCACCTCCTCTGCGGAACTCCAGCGTTTGGTCATAGGTGCCTTCTTCCTATTTACAAACAGCAGTGATTTAACAAGTTCAACACACCTCCACGTTTACGAAGTTCAATATATGTTATGATATTCTTTTTTAAGCTGCCCTGAGAATCACATCTGCCAAGTTTTGCCATAGAGGAAGGCAAAGGGAGGGGGCAGGCAAGAAGGCAGGAGCATTGTTGAAGCTAGTTTTGGTTCTTGGTAAAGAAACTCATTGTCAAACTCAAGGTCATCGAGTCAATTCCGACTCTTATCGACCCTATAGGACATAGTACATCTGGCCCCTGTGAGTTTCTGAAACAGCAACTCTTTGGGGGAGTAGAAAATCTCTTCTTTCTCCTGAGGAGGGGCTGGTGGTTTCAAACTGCTGACCTTGCGGGTAGCGCCCAAGGTGTAACCTTGATGCCACCAGGGCTCCTTTCTTGGTAAAAGATAAATGGAATGTCTAGTGATTAGACTCCAATTTAATCCCCAAAAAGGAAATTATCTCAAAATAATACTAAGCATATCTCACCAAATGATTTGACAGAAGGCGGTGAAAACAGAGAGGAGCAAATGTTGTAATACAAATATTCTTCAATATTTGGGGTTCTAAATATTTCTAGGTTTCTATCATGGGAAATGGGTTTCGATAAGATGTGGAAAAAGAAGTCGGAGTGTCAGCTGTATGTCCTCATCTGATGAAAATTCCACTGTGGTTAAAAACCTTAATATCTAGAGGCAGGGAAAAAATGTTGGGTTGAGATGAAAGGGAAAAGTATAATTTACATATACAGAAAGCTTCATGCAACACAGAGAGATCACCACAGTAAGACACAAAATGATTTTCTTCTCATTTCCCCGCCTTGCTGAGGGCGTCGATCTACCAGCTCAAGGAATAGCATGGGGAAATTAGGATAAGCAGATTAAAACAGCAGAAGAGTAGAGTTAATTATAATATTTGAGAAGGTCTTAAAAGCAACAGAAATGTAGCCAAAAGCCACAGTGGTTTCTTACTGAGTGCTGCCACCCTGTTATTTTGGTGTTTTTAAATTAATACAGCTATAAGTATGTTTCTTAGAGAGAGGGAAAAAAACTGGTTTTCAATTTTGTTTATGAAAGAGACATCATCTATTTCACTACATATTTTAAATGCCCACTGAATTTCAGAGCACGGTAATTTGCATGATTTGAGAAATTCATCCTATCTCTTCTTCCTCTTCACTTTATCTTTGAATCTTCTTTCCCCTCCGACTCCTTGCCACTGATCCTATTAATAGCACAGGAAATTTTATGAAAGACTGAGGTCTATTCTTTACATTTTTACTGATCTAACAACTGCAATTTGGCCTGATGGAAACAGAACGATCCTAACATCACCTCATCAAATCCATTAGTGAGCGGTGGTATTTTATACTTGGCATGGACATAATTCTCATTACTAAGCACCCTCCACAGTATTCTTAAGAAAGAGCTATTATTTCTACTTTATATAAAGCCCAGGGTTCCTTTGTGACTTTGCCCTAATATTTCTAAGGCAAACACAGATTTGGAATTCAAACACTGCTACTAAAATCTTTAAATCTCAGATTGCATGTAAAAAGAGTACTAAGCTGGTAGTCAAAAATGAGTGATAGTGCTTAAGGCACAATCAGTTCCTGAATAAGAGAATGGTGAAACTGGCAATGATGTAATATGTACATTAAATGTTATGATTTAAGTACATTCTACAGCCTCTCTCCCTGTACGACTTTCAATCAATCTCAAAATGTTTAGATGCATTGTTATGAAGGGTATAATGTGATAAAGCAATTAAAATGCAAGAAGAAATACACAACAGTGTTTAGGGAAGGAGAGATTTGTGTTTTCTTATTCTGGTCACTGCTCTGAAGGATCATCATCAAATATCATAGCTACATTTTAAAAGGAGCTATTTAATTTTATGACAAATGACAACAGCTGATGCTCTGCCTATGGGCTGAGAAGAATGGGAATCTATTTGGTACTGCAGGAGATGAAGTGACTATCTTAGGAATTGGAATGGACCGTTACTGTTCGCCACCTCTAGCCACAACACCTACTGGGGCATCCAATCAGGTGCACTACCAATGAAACGCCCGGGGAAGCCAGAGGAGCTGGTACTTGCAGAATGAGTGAGTTGTATTTATCTAATAAATATGCCATTACTATTTGAAAAGTTGTCTCTACCATATTTAAAATAGTTACAGAAAATGTTATCCAGAGCCAATTAAGTGGGTTTATAAACATGACCAACCATGATATCTCTTTAACTTTATTTGATGTTTTCACAATCTTTTTAAGCAAAGTGGGAGCCAAAAAGATGATCCTGACAGTCAGTTCCCAGTTATTGTCAACGGCACGATCTGTGCCTTTTCAGCGTTTAAATATTCCTCCTGCAGAGCACAGCCACCACTTCTTAGAGACTAGAGCCATCCGTTTTTAGCATCAAATTACTATCTCTTTCCATTTCCTGAAACATACAGGTCAGTATATAAAGCAGTTTACTTTCCTTTGAGTCATCTTTGAATAAAATTTATACCTTGTTTCTCTTCTTGCAGTACTTTGTAACAGATTAAAAACAGAGACAGAGAGAACGAGAGACAGAGAGGGAGGGAGGAAGGGGAGGAGACAGAAAGGGAGGGAGGGAGCAAAGGTAGGAAGGAAGGAAGGAATTTCATAGCTCACAAACGTGTTTTTTAATTCTGGCCCTACTTTTGGAGCTGGAACCATCTTTGACAGTTCTGTTATGCCCTCCTGCCTCCTAAACACTAGAAATGACAAACGAGGGCTCCGAGAATCCAGAGAGGTCTGTGATTTGCCCTAAGTCACAGAGCTCATTCGTGGCCCAGGCAAGACCAGGACCATCTTATTAGATGGCTCTCAGGCCTGGGCTCTGAATAACACTTGTACTACCATCACAAACTGAAATCTTCCCATGTTATCTCCAAGTCAACTTTTGAGATTAAAACCATCTGATGGGAACTTGGATGTTTTTACTCACCTAAACTACATTATGCTATCAGATAAAATCTTGCTTTAAAATATTAATATACATTCAAAATATATCTTCTTTTCAATCCAATACTCTAATTTATATTGTTCCTTTTAATGCAAAAGTTCAAATACAGTAACCACCATGACATCAAGCATGAATCAAACAGTAAGCACACAGGCACCCCTCAGGGATGCTGTGGATTTGGTTCTGGGCTGCCCCAATAAAGTAAATATTGCAATAAATTAAGTCACACAAATTGTTGGTTTCCCAGTACATATAAGTGTGCAACAGCATTCTGAAACAGTTTGAAATATTGTGAGAATTACAAAAATATGGCACAGAGGAGAGAAGTGAGGCCACGCTTTTGGAAAAAGCACACTGATAGACTTGCTGGTACAGCGCTGCCACAAACTTTCAGTTTATAAAACACACAATATCTGCGAAAGTGTGCCTGCACATGTGAAACTGCATCACCGTGGGACCAGAAGATACACAACTTCATCTATGAAGCACATCTGACAAGACACACTGTATCCTCATTAATGCTCACTGTATCTGCAGTAAGAACAAAGACCATTATATATGCCCCAATTTATAAACATGCTGTTATTACAACAGCTGATTACAGACTGGCCACTTGGAATCTGGATCGCCTCTCTCTCGGTGGAAGGGGTGAGGCATACTGAAACAGAGGCCAGGTTCTCTATTATACTAATATTACACATACCTTAAGTCAGAACTGTAAGGTAGGAGACAGATCTGTGGTTCTCACCTAGGGAGGCTTTTGCCAACATCTAGAGGTGTTTCTGGTTGTCACAACTGGGCGGGATACATGCAACTAGTGGGTAGAGGCCAAGGTTACCGCCACACATCCTATAATGCACAGAATAGCTTCCGACAACAAAGACTCAACAGTGGGCTCAACAGCACTAATCTTGAACCAGACAAGGATGGAGAGGAACCTACCTCTTCCTGTCTGGGTACCTGGGTGTCTGGCAAAGGATTGGGCACCCTTGTCCCTTCTTTGTGGACACATCTGCCTTTGCCTCTGTCTTTAGGGCCGAAATGCTGGCCTAACACTTTTTGGATGTTTTTACTGCTAACAATACACACTGTGTTCTCTCCTGCTCCGGCTATTGCTCAGGCTGACACTGCAATGGATTGTCTTATATTAAAGTATCATTCTTTCAGCACTAGTGCATAGTCATACTTTTGGAGGAGACATTTTTCAGGTATTGGGTTAATAGGGACAGCAATTCTCTATGTAGAAAAGCTTGATATTAGCACCTGCCCTTCAGTAGTTATTTTCTTGATATTTAATTCAAATGTTGTAGGGACAGTCCCTTTATATAAATTTTGTAGAGTCAAAAGACAGCATATGAAATGTATACCATGTAAACTCACAATAATCCCTGAAATTTAGGACATTTTGAACAATGAAATACTACTAAGTACTTCTCTCCTTCCAGGATTTCCATGTAAACCACCTGGTCTGTGAATTTTCCGGCCAACTTGTGCCTAGCGCAGGGACGGGGAACATCTAGCCCGCAGGTCAGATAAGGCCCGTGAAGTCACCACCAGCTAACACCAACCCCTCAGCCAAGAGAAGCACTCCCAGCGACCATCTTAGGAGTGCGACATGTTTGACCAGTGTGGCCCCAAATTGACGTCATAAATATCTAAATGGCCCTTGGCAGAAATAAAGGTTCCCCACCCCTGGCCTAAATGGTTTATCTTGTGTAGTCAGTTGTTAGGGATAATTTTATTATAAACCAAAGTAAACAATTACTTCAAAGACAAATTTGCTTTCCTAAAACATCATGTCATTAATTCCAAAAGTTAAAAAAATTAATGGTGCATTTTATATTAATTATATCAATATTCAAGGTAGACTCAAAAAGCTGGTGGAAGAATTCCGCCAACTTTCAGTTTCTGTTTTCCATGAACTTTTGAAGCGCCCTCACATTGGAGCAGCTGCGGAGGGAAAGTAAAAGTGAAGCGGGCACCAGCCCGG